GCATTGGCTGTGAACTGAGTCAGTTACAATCACGGCATGTTCGAACAGCTGATTCTCAAGCCATCAGTGACTCCCTCCACCTCCATTCTCAAACTAGACTTGATACCATATGTCAGATTGTGTTGCACTAAGCGACGTCTGCCCCTCAATACACCGCCATTTGTACATATAATTACATCATTAGGGCGGGAATTGTCATGAATCATTTGTTGAACTTCTAATGAAAACTTCTGAAAAATGAAGAAGAATGAGGAGGCGAACGGGAAGGAGGAGGAGGAGACGAATAAGAAGAAGTGGAAGCAAGAAAAATTAGGAGGCGAATGGGAAGGAGGAGGAGAAAACGAATGAGAAAAAGAGGAAGAAGAATGAGGAGGCGAATGGGAAGAAGGAGGAGGAAACGAATAAGAAGAAGAGGAAGAAGAAGAATGTCGAGGCGAATGAGAAGGAGGAGAAGACGAACAATAATAATAAGAAGAAAAAGAAGAAGAAGATCCCGATGGTGTGCTGTAACTTATTTTTTTTTAGAAACTGTACGCAATCCTGTTTAGGTACAATTCAAAGCATAAAGAGGGGCGTACGACAAGAATATGTACTGTCACCTGACTTGTTTTCAATATACAGTGAATATATAATGAGATCTTTAATTGATATGCCCGGAATTGTGGTTGGTGGGCACAATATAAACAATTTACGTTATGCTGATGACAGTCTTGATAGCAACAAGTCAGAAAGAACTACAGGAAATTATAGACATTGTGGTGATAGAAAGTGGAAGAATGGGCCTCAGTTTGAATAATAGGAAGACAGAAGTAATGGTGGTATCAAAGAAACGAATTATCCCTAACTGTGTAATAAAAGACGATGGTGTTATTTTAGGACAAGTACAGAAATTTAAGTATCTGGGCACATGGATAACATCAGATGGAAGATGCATAACTGAGATAATAAAAAGAATAGGACAGGCAAAAACTACATTTTATAAAATGAAAAACATCTTATGCAATATATCCTTGTCATTGAGAGTTAGAAAAAGAATTCTTGCTTGCTACATACATCCAGTTTTAACATATGGCTGTGAATCCTGGACAATCGGTAGGCAGGCCAAACAATTTCTAGAGGCCTCAGAGATGTGGTTTTACAGAAGAATGCTTAGAATACCTTGGACAGCCAAAAAGAGCAACCAAGAGGTTTTGAAAGAGGCGGGAGCCCGAAGACAACTTATCACAGACATCAGAAGGAGACAGTCATCATTTTTCGGCCATGTTATGAGAAGAGGAAAAATAGAACATGTTGTGATCACTGGAAAGATCTGTGGGAGGAGGGATAAAGGAAGACAACGAGAGAAGATGCTTGACAGTCTTGTTCCATGGCATGGGGGTGTGTCGGCACACGAACTAATACATACTGCAGGAGATCGCAGATTATGGAGAGGCCTGATCGCCCACGCCAGTCGGCAATTCACCCGATGATGATGATGCGATCCTGGAATAGCGGATGTCCCACAAGGCTTTGTGTTTAAATCTGTGTACGGGCAGATTGCCTAAAAAACCTGATATCTGGTTGCCAGGTGGGCCCAATCTCAAATTGTACGTACTTTAGAGCCTCGGTAACAACGCAGCTGGTTATGTAGGTTTTACGGGACTTTGCAGAACCAACCCCAAGTTTGCCATTGCTTTCTGGACGGTAGGCTTTCTTGATACCACTGTCGAAACCAAGGCAAGGTGCATAGCTGGGATCGAACCCGGCATTACGAAGCATTCGCATAGACTTAGACACAGAGCCGACTGGTTATGTAGACATAATGGTAAAAAAAAGGGTCGATTCGATCAGTTTAACATTCATGGAAATTAGGAGCCATCTTTGATGCATAAAGAATATAGTGCTAGACAATCAGCAATCGATGGGTGATCTTTTCATTAACTTCAACCGTCTTTACTTCCCATGACATTACCGACTATATATTTCAGGCTGAGAGCCAAAGTCAACTGCGATTTAAAAAAAATCCGCCTTGATGCGGATTTGATCCTTAGAAGTCGGGGCTGGCAACCTGACGTCTAGTCGCTTAGCGACCGCGTTTCCCATTCATAGGAATGTGAGTTAAGCTTCTTCTTTTGTTGTCTCACAGATACCAGGCTGTAGCCTAGTGTTGTGGTTTTCTGTTTTTGTCTTTCGCTTCTCGGGTTATAGCTTTATTTTTTTTTATAGGTTTAAACTATACCATTTATCCATCTCTTTCTTGGTCTTTCTTTAGTGTCAAATCTCATATGCAATTTGGTCTGAATGCATTTTCACTAAATGGCTGAACCATTTAATTCTTTGTCTGTCAATATAATCCAGACATGGTCTTATTCCAACTTTCTCTCTAATGCTCTCAGCCTGAAATGGATAGTCAGTAATGTCATGGGAGGTAAAGGCGGTCAAAGTTAATGAAAAGATCACCCATCGATTGTCTAGCACCATATTCTTTATGCATCAAAGAGGTAAAGATGGCTCCTAATTCCCATGAATGTTAAACTGATCGAATCGACCCTTTTCTACCACCATGTCCACATAGAATGTATAGAATGCTGTCTCTTCTTGTATTGTTAGTGACCTTGCCAAACAGCAAATTTCACATGTAGTTTTTGTTTTCTGTTATATTCATTGTCCATGTTTGGCACTAATAGCATAAAGTAAGGATAAAAATGATATGAATACTTAGCTTTTTTGCTCAAGTTAATCAAACATGAAATTAAAGTTATGAGAAGAGGGAAACTAGAACATGTTGTGACTACTGGAAAGATCTGAATAAAGACACACAGATGAAGACAACTCGGGAAGATTCGTGACATACTTTTGTTGTTACATGGAGGAGGTGTCAACATGCGAACTGATACACGCAGTTGCAGATCGCAGGCTGTGGAGAGGCATGATCGTCCACGTCAGTCGGCAAGGTACTTGATGATTATATGATTTTAAAACAAAAGTTCCAAGTGTTTAAGGTTTAAGAGAACCCACTTAGTTAAAAGAGAAATAGTCCTAAATAGCTGTTTTTCTTCTAAGAGCGGCTGTTCGTCAGTTGAAAATGTTAAAAAAAGAGCGAAACTCCGTAGCTCCAACAGAGACCCCCTTCGTCACCACACAGAAAACTTTAGGGGTGTGGGCTTGACCCCCCCCCCCCCTCCCCAATTAGCCTGGCCTGGAGCAATGAAGCCTTGTTAAACTGCGCAGTATTAAAAATAACAATCATAAGTTATTATTATTGCACAGTTAAACTACACTTAAGCCCTTACAACCTATGTCCCTAGATTATTGGGTGGGGGGGGGGATGAGTGCTTTGATGATAGCCCTCACTAATCACTATATTCATTATTTGCCCTGGATTGAGAATCAGCTGTACACGCGTCATAATTATTACTGTCTCATACAGTATGTTGAGAAAGGCAGAGTGGCAAGCATCACTTCAAAAATCCCAAGTGGCTAGCCTCCTTTGGATATTTTCTCCAGGTAGTGCTGGTGTATTGGGAATCAAGCAGGCAGATAGACTGGCCAGTTCTGTACTGCTTGGAAGTGAACTGATGTATGACAAGCTAGATGTTGTAAGGCTCTTTTGGGAGCCAGTGAACAGTGCACAGGCACAAATTTATCAGTATGGTCTGAGGAGAATGGCTCTGCGAGGAGTTACCAGGTGATCCTGCCGACGCTCATCGGAAAGGCGAGTCGGATGTACAAATGCTTTTTCCTGGTCTATACATGCAACTTTGCATGTCTTACCATACTCTTTTGCTTTTTCTGTCAACTGTCTTAAATATTGTGTCTGTGTAGCTTCTGTTATGTCTGAAATCCATCTGGGCTTCTGAAAGTTGTTCTTCTACTGATGGTCTTGAGGGCAGACAGAAAGTGGATCCTTATTTTCAATTAATTTGGCATAAAGTTTTCTTGTGCGGCTAAATAGTGATATTTCTCTGTACTTAAGGGAGTTTATCTTGGAATCTAGAACCCTGCAGGTCAGAGTTCAGCATCATACTGGTCATAATCCAGAATCAAGCTGGTCAAAATTGGGAACCAAGCCCGCCAGAATCCAGAACTATGCCGGTCAGAATCCAGAACCATGCAGGTCAAAATCCTGATCCATGGAGATGAGAATATAGGACCAAGCTGCTGAGAATCCAGATCTATGCAGATCGGATTCCAGAACCATACAGGTCAGAATCAAAAACTATACACATCAGAATCCAGAACCATGCAGATCAGAATCCACAACCAAGCTTGTCAGAATCCAGATCCAAGGTGGTGAGAATCCAGATCCATTGTGATGAGAATCCAGATCTATGCAGATCAGATTCCAGAACCATACAGATCAGATTCCAGAACCATACAGATCAGATTCCAGAACCATGCAGATCAGAATCCAGAACCATGCAGGTCAGAATCCAAAACCATGCAAATCAGAATCCAAAATCATGCATTTCAGAATCCAGAACCATACAGGTCAGAATCCTGATCCATGGCGGTGAGAATATAGGACCAAGCTGGTGAAAATCCAGATCTATGCAGATCAGACTCTAGAACCATATACATCAGAATCCAGAACCATACAGGTCAGAATCCATAACCATGCAGGTCAGAATCCACAACCAAGTTGGTCAGAATCCAGATCCATTGCGGTGAGAATTCAGGACCAAGCTGATGAGAATACAGATCAGAATCTAAAACCATGCATATCAGAATCCAGAACCATGAAGGCCAGAATCTACAACCAAGCAGGTCAGAATCCATAAACCAAACAGGCTGGAATCCAGGCAAGAATTAACCAAACAGGCTGGAATCCAGGCAAGAATTAACCAAACAGGCTGGAATCCAGGCAAGAATTAGGGTCATCCTAGTCCCAAAAAAAAAAAAAAAAAGCCTTTTCTATTGTGATTCAACCAAGACCACTATGCCTGCAAGCATATCTTAAACATCAAGACAAGAAATATACTACACAAATCTTCAATGTTTACTGTTTAATATAATCTTAATCAAGAGGTGTTTTTAGTATCAGCATGCTTCTTTTTTTTCTTCTTCTTCTTTTTCTTTTTCCTAGCAATAGAGACATCACCGATTCCATTATGAGATGAGGTTTGATTTACTGCAGGTTTTAAACTGGCATCAGATTCCCATGTACTGTTTCCATTTATCCCTATTTTTGTATTCTCACTTATTGTTGTTTGGGTCTCCAGTACTGCTAGGTACTCATTCTCCTTCCTGATATCTGTCACTGTAAAGACACAGGCTTTTATTTTCTCATCCTCAGAGCTGCGGAGAAAACCAGACAGAAACTATGTTTATACATGGTATGATTTACATCCTTGGAGATTTTGAGAAAACCAGATAGAAACAATGATAATACATGGTATGATATACATCCTTGGAGATTTTGAGAAAACCAGATAGAAATAATGATAATACATAAAATGATACACATCCGTGGAGATTTTGAGAAAACCAGATAGAAACAATGATAATACATGGTATGATATACATCCTTGGAGATTTTGAGAAAACCAGATAGAAACAATGACAATACATAGTATGATACACATCCTTGGAGATTTTTAGAAAACCAGATAGAAACAACGATAATACATGGTATAATACACATCCTCCTACCTGCGTTTGCCTCCAAAAGGGCGGTTGGCATGTAAGTAAAAGTAAAATTAAAGACCTTTTCCCACGCCTTCAGGTGTATTGGGCATATAGGGTTTGACCTCTATTTTAGAGACCAATCGGCACTTGGTGGGTGGTGTGGTCAACATCAGGCTGACAGCCTTTACTTCCAAGGACTGCACCTGGTACCCACTCAAGACAGTTTGTGTTGGACAGTTTGACATCTGTGTCAGAGCTGACTGAAAGTAACATGAGACAGAAGGTTGTGGATAGACATGACTATCAATGCCACACTGCATGGACTTTAAGAAGAAGAAGAAGACTGCAGAGAGATGCTAGGCTGTGTCATAACATCGTTTTTAAGTGCAAACGATAAATCAATTTTTTTGGCAGCATGCAGTGTATTTTATGGTAAGTCAGTTAAATATCTTCTAACTTACCCAGATTAATTCTGCATTCATTTTTATATAAGTATAGAAAATTTCACAAGGATTGGCTTATAGAAAGTGTTTAAAAAAGTACATCTAAGTGGCATCACTGTTTTTGCTAATCTCTATCCAGTTGTGACAGTTTCATAAGTAAGAACCTAATATACTCATATACAAATTCACTAGCATCCTCACTAACAAGTATGTCATATACTTGGGGTCTTCCTTCAAAGTCAGAGTGCATCTGCCTGAGAGGCAAAGAACCAACAACCTGCATATAAATATGTTAGATCTGTAAATCAGAAGTGCAGGCAACACTTAGTGTCTGGAATAAGACTACAGTATAGAGGTGGACAAACAGCCAGAACTTTCCACCAGAGTTTAAAGCCATAAACACGAAGAATTTATCCCATTTACTATTTATCGATTTCCTTAGGCATTTGTTTTCATATGGTGGGGTAGCGGTTAGATGCTCGCCTGCAGACTAGAAGGTCATGGGTTCAAGTCCAGACAAAGCCAGACTTTTTTTCTCTCCAAAAATGACCTTGGCTCCCATGTCGACCCAGTCTTCAGTGGGTATCAGGTATAGTCCTGGGAAGTAAAGGTGGCTGGCATGGTGCTGAGCACATCACCTATCAAGTGTCTATAAAATATAGGACTTGCCCTATATGCCCAATACGCGGGAAGGTGTGGAAATTTGTCCTTAACTTCTATCTCTCTAAAGATATAGGTGATTTGGATCGGTTATGCTGATGATTTTCCTCTACGCCACTGCTTTAGACCGCCCAGCATTATTTATCCACCTCTGCCTCATCTGCCACTGATTTTGCTATTTGCCCGAATTGTCTAAAATGCCTCTCTTCCTATCACAGTTAAAGTACGTTGTATACCATGCTCATCAGCTTTTCGTCAGGTAATCACTGTTAGTACTTTAGTTATCCAAAGAAGTCAGAACATACATCTTAGAAACCACATTTTCACTGACTCGAAAACTTCCGGTCAAAATGGACACTAGGCAGGGGCAATTTTTGGAGCCGAGGCAAATTTTAGTTTCACTTGTAGACTGGATATAGTTTCATCGCCCAGCTTCTAGTTGAATGCATGGCGTGACACTGTGAGCTGCGAATTTCATTTGGAATGTTTTTTCGACTGTGACCAACGTGGTGGTGTGAATTGTAGATTCAGAAAATGGCGCGATGCCGGTTGGCACAATGTTGGTGGTGCCCGTATGTGATTAAAATTGATCACGTGGGCAACGGCTGATCAGTTGGTGACTTCTACTACCATCAATGATGAACTGCATTTCTAATGTCGGACTGTTTGTGTTAGTACTTCGGATGGCTACCCTATGCTTTAATGTGTGTGTTTGCTATATATGCTGAGACAGCTGTCTGTCAATCTTTCCACAAGGGACTGTGATAAACATTCTGTGTGTTTTTCGTTGGCACAGGAGCGGAGCAAAGATGGGGTGACCTGTTTGCTATGAAGCTGAAACTGACTCCAACTTCCTTTTCATTTGTTCACATTCCATAAATCACTGCCTTATAGCAGAACATGGTCAACGTAACATTTCAGCATTCCTTTTGTGACATTCAACCAAAATGAATTATTATAAAAGATATTTTTTTTTAATCTTCCGACAAAGGAATATTTACAACTTGTGTTCAACTTTGTTCATTTTTTTTTTTTTAGTCCAGCCAACAACTACTTTAACCTATTTTATCCCTAAGTGTTCTACTTCAGAGAAAGCCACGTCTGGGTCTGAAGTGGTTAAAATCATATTCTATATGGCAAAAGAAACTAAACTAAAATCGAGTACAATAATGCCCTTTACAGAGGAAAGTTCTGAAAGTAGGTTTTCTGAAGACTTTCTGTTGAATGCACAGTGAGTTTCTTGGTACTAAAAGAGTAAAGGAAAATTTCCATTCACACACAGTTCCACACACCCATGTGGAGAAGAGAAGTACCAAGCAAACTCATTTATTTTATGACTGCCTTTATCTTGTCTGTCACGGGGGGAGGGGTGATCTTTAACAGCAACCTTAAAGGACAAACTATGGCACATCAGTGAAGTCCAAGTGCACCATACTGCTTGTGACATCTACCAAATTAGTTGTCGCTATTTTTTTCTCTAATGCCACCGTCTTCAACCACCATTATGATTTATTTTGTTCTCATTGCTCATCCTACACAGGTGAATCTTGTGCTTACAGTATGGCTAAGTCATTTAAACCATCTTAATAACGAAAAGGAGAAGAAGAAGACTAAAAATAATTTAGCCACAATCCTAGATTAACCCTTCCTTTTAAAAAAAAAAAAAAGATTTGTATAAGAGGTAGACATTACTTCAAGTTATTTAAAATTCAGATAAATTAATATTTCTTGCGCAGTCACTCTTAAAATGTTGGATGGCATATTATCTTGTGGTTTACAGCTAGGCTGTAATATCTGCACTTTTCAGTCGAACACATCATCGGACTTCAGCAAACACTTAATTCATCTGTCACAACAGTCTGCATTTACAACTTTTTAGGGCGGTGTAGATGGGGGAGGGAGGGGCTTTGCCGGAGGATTTAGGGCTGGACGGCTAGTGCTGTCACCACAAACTGTGCAGGTTAGGGTATTTAATTCTGCCCCCGACATAAAACTTCAATTCCCCAACTGGGTGTCTAATTTGGGTCTCGCGCAAGACTGAAATACAACTGCCCGTGTTCCAACACAAAACTAAGCAAATACAGCCATGATCTGGATATACCTGTCTGAACTGGTACTCAGCTTATGTTTTCTATGCTTCCATGTTTCTGAGACTGTCTTTGCTGGGTTCTGCTGCTGTCTATCTGCTCCATTGTTTACATCAAGTCTACAAAATGTCTTGGAGTCAGAAAACAGTCGGATCCCTGTTGAGACATACAAATAAATTCTATGGCTTTAGCAGGTGCAGGAGAAGTTACAGTTAACTGTATATAAATAAATTTGTCACTGCTTTCACAACGGTACAATATATTACTGTCAACATGGCAAAGTGGGGAGCTACCAAATCACCAGCAACTAATTTTTAACTCTAGAGAAATGTGTTCACAACCCCTGAACTGGCCAGGTGTTGATCAGAAGAAGACCAATCAGAATCAGGAACCAACTGTGATAAAAACCACAGCATAACAAGCACATGGATAATTCTTCTTTCTAAACTGTTGTAAATGTAGTACTAAAATCTTAGCAGAGCATATTCTAAGGGTTTCATACAAATCTGGCTATGATGTAAGAGTAAGGTGGTCTTAGGAAACATTTGCCCCCATTTTGTAGTGCTTGATTCACTCCTGAAATGTTGGCATCAGCGGTTCTGAAAGCGCCTGCTAAAATTGTGGTAGACTGTTTTTAATGTGGGCGGATCTTGCTAGTCACACTCGCCATGGGCTGTGAGTCCGATGCCTTCTCATAGAGCAATACAAAACTATCATCTGGAAATACAGAAAGGTGATTCTTTAGATTAACTCCAAAGCTACGTAGGTGCTAAATTCTTGTTTCATGAAAATCCCAGCTGAATATGGAGATCTAACAAGTGTGTCTTTGCGTGAATGAGAACAAGTACGCCTACAAGTGACACACAACATCAAGGAGGAGGAAAAAGAAGAAGAGGAAGAAGAAGAAGAGGAGGAAGATAAAGAAGAAGAAGAAACAGAAGAGGAGGAGGAAGAAGAAGAAGAAAAACAAAACAAGAAACAGTCAATGTGAGATCCCTGCAGTTGATCATGCACTAAAAAAAAAATATGTACCTGTGTTTGCCACCTGTTGTGGCTGGGGAAGCTGCCAAACATCCTCTTGTATGGTGTCCGATAAAACACTGTTAATGTAACATTAAGAACAAGTAAACCAAGGCAGTCAATTAAAAATTTAAACAGTAATGAAGAAAACACTATTTTGAATAGGATGACTTAACCCTTTCTCATAACAAGCTGAAAAATCAACTTTTCTGGTTGGGTCAAATTCTTTGTAAATGTCACTTTTCCGACTCGTCCATAGTCATCTGTTTACGAGACTCATAGCTGATGCTAATGGTTGAGTTTGAACCTGCGTAACTGATTAGGACGTAAGGATAGACTACATTAACTAACAATAGCATATGGATGCAGGGAAGTCCTTTGAGCTACATGGCTTTTTAAAGCCAGATAGAGGTCACACAATATATGTTTTTTTAAATCTCCAAGGGATGTATTCCATAAAATGCTTTACCCTGTTTGTATTTATTGATTACTCCTTTCATATTTCAAAAACTAATTTACAAATGGAGATAAGCATATTTTCAGCTAAATTATTAGTGACCTGTTTAAAACTTGTTTTTAGATTTGTTCTGGAATTCTAACAGGGTCGTGACTTTTTTTTTTAGTGCTCCTGCTAAGCCGAAATGGAAAAAGTAGGGAAAACGTATGCATCAGGCGTGGCTTCCCCTGTCTGGTCCTGACACTCTGAAAAGCGGGACCTATGGTAACGGACATATGAACCTTTCTGTAAAACAGTAGGACTTCTGCGAGTGGGACAGTTAGGACTTTGCTGTTGCCATAGGACATGTGACTGATGGCCATTTGAGCCTAATCAACTGAGTGACAGTAGGAGACTGAGCATGATGTTTATCATCTGTTTCTTGATGCTCATACTTATGTTTGGATGTCTTAATGATTCATTCATTCATTCAGTAGCATGTCCCTCGCGGAACCTCGCTGCCATAACAACCCTCCGGAAAACCTTCCTATCATGAGCAAGATGTCCTGCGTCTGATACACCCATCTGGAGATCATCTGCCACATCCTGCACCCATTTTCTCCTTGGCCTTCCTCTTCCTCTCTTCCCAGGCATATACCCCTCCATTATTGTTCTCTCCAGACTTCCATGACGCTTCAAGTGACCAAAATATTTCAATTTTCTTTGTTTTATTGTCTTTACTAGCCAACCCTCTTCAATATTCAGCTCTTGAAGTATGGATGCATTTGTTCTTTTCTTTACCCAAGATATTCTTAGAACCTGTCTGTAACATTTATATTCAAATGCATTTATGCGCTGTTCCGCTTGTTTAGTAAGTGTCCAGGTCTCACAGGCGTATGTTGCAATGGGAAAGATGCATGCTCTTAAAAATCTGACCTTTGTAATTCTATCTGTACAATTCCATAATTTATTCAGTTGTTTTAGTCTTTGAAGAGCAATTGATAGTCGCCATTTAATTTCTTTCATTGTGTCACCATTGTTGGTAACCAGTGACCCAAGATATTCGAAATTTTCCACCACTTCCAATCTTTCCTCATTAACATATATTTCCTTCTCCATGGCAGTTTTGTTTGTATGCATTATCTTTGTTTTTGCTATGTTAAGAAATAAATTATGATTTTCACTATTTCTTTAGAGTGAGGTTAATAAGTTTTCTAAACCATTTTGTGATGTTGATAGTAATGATGGCGTTAGTATATAAATGTACTGGCTTATTAGCATCTTGTTTCCATTTCCTGATCTATTCTCCCATCACCTGAAAGCATACTTCCTGCTTATTTAAATTTATTAACTCTTTTGGTACCAAAAAATTATTAATAAAGTTTTGTACATTAAAACTATAATCTTTGAGTCTTATGGCTAAAAGAATAATACACATATAAGACGGAAGAAGTTAAAGTAACAATTTGTGTCCTTCTTCTGTGTTTGCCCTTAAAAGGGGAACTGGCACGATCTGATATAGTTTAAACCGAGGCTGCGATATATGTGCCTTTCTGCCCAACACATCCAATTTGAGAAAATCCTTAATTACTCATCTTTTACATCAGGCTTGATAAGGGACAGTGGGTCTATTCTCCCCCTCCCCAAAATGGGACACTGGAACCCACACAGAGAAGAGCTATGCGAAGGATAAAAATAACAAACACTAGGAAAGAAGTAGTTCAGAAATGTCTATCATGATAGAGCAATAATAAATTTATGGTAAACTGTTTAGTGGTGTCTTCTTCTTCTTAGCATTCACTGGCTGTAAACTCCAGCAGAAAGTTCTTCTATTGTTTGTTTTCCACTTCTGAGTTTTGCATGCAAATCCCTTTGACAGATCTGGCTTATTTTGTATGCAGGCGGTTGGCGATTGTTGGCTTTGCCGCCTTGATACGAATTTACTTCATGCATATATTTCTGAATTGTTCCAGAACTAGTTGTTTATTCACCAGTTTTTCATATGCGACAGTGAGGGACATTTCATTTGATTTGCACAGGAACGGAGCAAGTATGGAGAAACCTGATTGTGGTGATGTTGAGACCTCGACTAACTAAACTAATCTAAATGGTTGGTTCCTCACCTCTCAGGCAGTTGCACCCTGACTAAGAAGGAAATAACCATAACAAGTCAACATTTACAACACGCTTATGTAGGGGGGGGGGAGTGGGGGGAGATGCGTGGGTCTATTCTTTCTCCCACCACAACCCATAGGGGAAGTCAAAACTGTTCAAAATCTTTTCTCTTGGTCCCCCACCCCGCTTCCTACAAAAATGTCCTACTGTCAGGGAATACTCAGTCTTTCCCTGTTCATGACAGTCCAAAAAGTGAGAGATAACTCTGAAAAGATTTCAGAACTGACCACCATTTTGAATATGCTAGTGAGAGGGTGCCACTATAGGAACAATGACTAAGGCAACCAACCTAATATGGGTATAGCTCTTAAAGAAAAATAATAACAGCCTACAGCGGGTATCTATGCATTAGAATTGAATGAAAGATCTAAGTCACTCATTCTCACCCTTCCAAATGCCGCAACCCTTTAATACAGTTCCTCGTGTTGTGATGACCCCCCAACCATAAAATTGTTTTCATGCTCATAGTATCTTCAGTGAATATGTGTTTCCAGATGGTCTTAGGTGACCCCTGTGAAAGGGTCATTCAACCTCTCAAAAAGTGATGACCTATAGGTTGGGAACTGCTGGTCTAAGTGATGTATAACAGAACAGGAAGATAATGAACGAATGAACAAACAAATAAACTGCGAGTATCTACGCTACAAAAATATTAATGTCTGCTCAAGCATAAATCATAGCAGGCATGAGAGGCTAAGAACCAGGCCTCCAGGGTGACCCAGGGTCGGCTAGAAAGACAGCATTCGACAGTCCCTGACCGACAGAGGACTGGAATGGAACAAAGCCAGGAAAAAAACTGCTAATAGAGAAGTCTGGCGATCTCTCTGGCAAACCTCTACACCCCAAGGTACACAAGGAGCTACTAAATAAGTAAGTAAGTAAGTCAAGCGGCAATAGAGAATTATAATCGTTCACCTGTCCAACATTTGTGAAAGCTGCCTGGCAACAAAAGTACGGAACTCTGGTGTAGTCTGTAGTATACCATCTTCTTCATTATCATTCTTGTTATGCAATCTGAAAGAACAGTACAGAAATACATCAATCACTCTGTGTTTGCTCCAGAGAAACCCTCAGATGAACATAGATCAGAGAGGTCAAAGGTGCTGGCCTGGATTTCAACCATATCAAAAGGATTGAGCTGGAAATAACAGAACCAAGGAGTTGAGTCAAGAATTGACATCACAGCACTCGGGGCATTCCCATGTGTGCACTGTCCTCATTTTCAGCAGCCAGCGCAGAGTTCCAATACTGTTGGTACTGGTCAACAATCTGGTTATACGTCAGTCTAGCCTTTCATCTGAGTGTAGTGAGCCAGCCAGACCCTCTGGTTACACCCAGGTGCCTCATTCTCTCCAGGCCGTAATAATCTTGTTTCTCAACTGATTCCGTTGCTTGTTCCCAAAGGGCCTTGACCACATCTGTCTTGTCGTGTATTAATTCACCACCCAGTGGTGCAGATCCAGCCAATCTGTCTGCCTGTTAGAACAGAGGAATGAACTTGCAAGCCCTAGATGATGCATAAATGGCACAAGATAATGATTAAGGATGTGTCATAATTCAGCAAGTTTTTTACAGAACGTGGCTCGAGTCAGGGCACATGCGAAAGTCTCTTTTGCTCTAGCCAATTCTCCAGCCCTATGTGCTTCCACAGTCAACACAACTTCATGTCTTGTATCCTTTACAGAGGTCTGCCTCTGCCTTATTCTCCAGAAACGTTACCCTCCTTCACCGTTCTCTCCAGGTGACCAGGATGTTTCACTTGGCAAAATACCTCAGCTTTCGGGACAGAATGCTATTTATGAGCCAATTCTCCAATGCAGAATGTGTTATTAAAAGGTATTTTATCAAGTATACTGACCTACAAATAGAGAAATGCATTACACATAAATCGATAGAAAAGATATGTCGAAGTAACTATGCTATTTTAAGCACAAAAGATAAAGAAGCTCATTTATGGTCATGCAAGAAGATTGTGCTTGCCCTATATTTTATAGACTGATCAGTAAGGTCTATAATATTATTCAGGCTGCTTTTAACACCCAGGACATTTTGGGGGGCTTATTTTGGGCCTGGCTGATTACCTGCACTGGTAATTTGACCATATAACTACAAAAGCTACATTATCACCTTTCCGTCTTTTCAAACAAGTGTTATACTGTACCATTTATGGGCCACAAGAAACACAACCCCTGGATAGTGAGTGTGACTAGCAAGACCCACTTGCATATTTAAACAGCATCAAGCCTTGGCAGTTTTATGGAGATCATGTGTTGTCCATGCATTATGATCTCTCTCTCTCTTAGCCTGCCTTGTTTACACTAAAGGAAAGGCAACACCAATATGTTTGGAACAAAGCATGCTGCAGAAGATAAATAACAAAATCTGCAGACAAGCATGGTTTTCGCTAATGGGAGCGTTATGTACTTAACTGATATTTTTATAGAGACCAATTGGCACTCGATGATTAATGTGGTCACCTGTATTTTATTTCCCAGGATATTACTTGGTTTCCATTTAAGGCTGAAACCATCTGGGAGCCAGGTCAGTTCTCAAACAAATCTTCCTTGATGTAGATTTGAATGCTAGACTTCCGGGCCAGCAAGGAATGTCTAGCCACTACACCTGCAGGCAAGGATGTTAGGCACTCTACTATCTTGTCCCCTATACAAGTGATTCCAAAACTTGTCTTAGTTGCAGCGATTTTTTTCAATTAAAATTTTTCCATGGCACCCTAACTTAAGTAAAAGTATGACTTTTTATATGTAAAAGATTTTAAAAAAAAAACAAAAAAAAAAACACCCTGTTGTATCTTCAAATATTTCACGGCGCTCCTGTGAAGAGGTCGCAGTTCCACTAGGCGCAGTGGTGCACAGTTTGGGAATCACTGCCCTACGCTATTATGCTTGGGAACAAAAAGATATCTGCAGGTATATAATAAACCATTTTATGCCATGTATATAAAGTAAACTGAATCATCTGTGATTTTACAGAAGAAAACTCAACGGACAGCCAAAAACAGCAACCCAGATGTTATGAAAGAGGTGAGGGTTCGAAGACAACTTAATCACACATATCAGAAAGAGACAAGACGCAATTTTTTGGTCATATTAAAAGAAGAAGAAACCTGGAACATGTTGAGACCACTGGTACGATCTGCGGAAAAAGAGACAAGCAGATTCTCGACAGCTTTCTGTTATGGCACGTAGGGGTGTCAGCACACAAACTGTTACATACTGACTTCAGCAGATTGTGAAGAGGCAGGATGATCAACACCAACTAGCATCTTCTTCTTACAGTTCATACCATGTGACATTGGTAGCCATGTCTTTATCCATGACCATCTGTCTCCTATCATCATCATCATGTAGCAGGTCCTTTGCAGAACGTCGCTCTCATCACAGTCTGCCTGAAAGAAACTCGGTCTCTTGCTAGTTCTCCCACCTCATGAACTTTCACCCTCAAGGATTCACTTATATTCTGTGCCCATCTTCGTGTCGGTCGGCCTCTGCCCCTCCTTCCTGGTACCATGCCTTCTACTATAATTTTTCCAATCCATCGTGGCGCTTGATATAACTAAAATATTTTAGCTTTTGAGAAATGATGGTGTTTATTAGCCAATCTTTCTTGATGTTCAGATCTATTAAGATGTCAATCTTTCTCATCTTCTTTGTCTGTCTCCTATACTTTCAATTAATTCTGTTACAGTTGATCTTCCATGCCATGATGTCAAACTGTCCAGCATCTTTTCTCTCCGGTGTGTGTGTTTGTATGGGTCTTTTTGTGCGGCTAAGTGTGTGTATATATGTGTGTGTGTCTGTGTGGGTTTACGTTTGTGTGCGTGTTTGTATGGGTCTTTTTGTGTGGCTATGTGTGTGTGTCTGTGTGGATTGACGTTTGTGTGTATGGGTCTTTTTGTGTGGCTATGTGTGTGTATGTATGTGTTTGTGTCTGGGTTGTATGCGTGTGTGTTTTAGACCGTGTGACTGTGTGTATGAGAGTGTGTGTGTATATATGTATGTATGTGTGTGTGCGTGCTCATATGTATGTGGATGTGTGTATTGGGTGCCTATGTGTGTATGTGAGTAAATGGGTTTGCGTGTGTATGTGTTCGCGCTCGAGCGTGCCCACATATTTTACCACCCATGCTTTTGTTTTTGACTTGATATTCATAATATGCATATTACTACATGAACATAACATCCTTTATTGATGAGATACAACTGCTGTGTGAAAAATGGGAGTCTGGAAGGGCCGAATGTAAGACAGGCCTAATTTGTAACCCTTTGAAAATAAAGTTCGTTCATTCGTTCTGCCTCCCTCTGCCTTTTCCCCTCCAGCTTGCCCACTTTCACAATTTATTCCAGTATTCTCCTTCTCATGACATGAACAAAGTAAGTCGATTATTTCCTTATGATGTGGGCAATCAATTCTCTTTGTGAGTCAGTTTCTTTCAGGGCATCGTCATTACTCTTTCTATCTGTCCAGGGTATTCTTATCATTCATTTACAAACCCACCCCTCCGCCAGTTCCAAATATGTTTTCACTAATCACTAGCTAGCATAGGAGATCACAGTTGTCTATAACTCTTGTATATACTTGCAATTTGAACTTTACACACAAATTGTGTGAAATTCCCACACTGGAGGCTGGCTGCACTGCATTCACTACTGCCTTTAGGAATATGTTGAATGTTGAAATAAGAATCTACAGCCCTCAGGACATTCCCATAAACTTTCCATTCCCATCTTCAGCAGCAAACACAGTTCCCATTCTGATGGTACCAGTAACAGTCTGATTGTATATCCGTCTGCCAGATCGCCTGGTCACTCCTTGCAGCACCAATCTCTTCAGACCATGATGATCCATTTGTGCCTCCACCTTGTTCACTCATTCCTAAAGGATCCTTACAATATCTAGATTAGTTAGTTAGTTAGTTAGTCTTTCCTCTTGTGTCGAGTGCGGCACATAGGGCAGAGGTCATGACTCTCCATGCGTGGCGGTTCGTTGCAATCTGTTGTAGGTCTTGGATGTTTGAGTGGCCCATGAGCGAGCCTTCCCTATATCTAGATTGCCATGCATCAATTTACCACCAAGTTGTGCCGAACCAGCCAGTCTATCTTCTGTTCATGTCTTAACACACCAGCATCACCTGGAGAAAATATCCAAAGGACTCTGCATGGAGCTTTACTGTCTCCTCTTTTCTTAACCTGTTGTGTGAGTCACTTATAATCACAACACGTGTGTTTTGTGGGAATATTACAGATGAAGCCTAAATCTTTTCCACAAGTGACTCTCATATGAATGCCTGAAAGCCATGAGAGCAGTCTCCGTGGAAACACTGAGCACTGGATTGTGAAACCATTTCACCAATATCTTAGTCACAGATCAACTAAAATAAAATGTCCAAACCTTACCTATTCGACTTCAGCTTTTTAGTCTCTTCAGAAAATAAATGAGTTTTGGCTTCTTTGCTTTTCTGCAGCTCAGATAATGTTCCGCTGATTATATTATCTGTGGAATAAAAAAAAAAAAGCTTATGCTAGTTGATGTGGACAACATTACACCGCTACATTAACTTCTCAGGACACTCAAATAACACGCGATTTGCCGACCACTGCGCGAGACATCAGTTCCAGGAAGTTTTTTTTAATAATAATGTAGTTATCTCTTTATTTACTTTTTTGTTTTGTTTTGCCACTGTGTGTATTGTTGTAGTGAGGCTATCTGTAAGTCACGTAGGTTGTAAATCCAAAAAAAGGTGTACTGTTTATCTCTTCTTCTGTCTTTTGTTCTGCAGCTGAATATAAGTAGGTGCAACTCTGATAAACAATAAATAGAATAGGTGCAAACTGGAAAAAAATAAATACATTACCCTCTTTTAAGTTTCCACAGCTCGATTTTTAAATGAACACTCTATTCCTTCCCCAAAATTTAACCTAGTCATCTCCTTGTGAGATACAATTTGTCATTATTTGAAGCCCTACTCTGGCTCTTGCCGAAAGCCGCAATATAGCCCAACCATAAATATGGTCTAATGGCTGAATGCGGTTTCTAGGACCTCTCCCCGGTTGATCCTCATCCACATGGTGGCACTTTGTGTCATCAGGTGTTTATCGCTTGTGTGATGTCCTGGTGGGGTAAAAGTCTACTACTACTGCCTTCCCCAACTGCACCCAAGGCTACAACCACTATCTCTCCCAGATCGTTCTCACTACTGCCCCCATATCCCTCCAGAATCCCCCAGCTGGTGGTACCAACCACTTTGGGAAACTAGCGTTTAGTCTGCGCTAGTTTTATTATTTTAAGCCCGTCAGGTTCAAACAATGGCTGCTTTCAATATGAACCTATTTGGGAAAGATAGGAGTTACATTAGTCACTGACTGGTACTGAAAGAGTTCAAGAATGGATTACTGGATTTTGTCTAATTGCAGTATTAACACCAGCAGTGTGAGGTTGCAGAAGGACACTAATTTGAAGGAAATTTAAGTGGTTTTTACATTTTAAGGATTGCAAAATCTAGGGACTTTCTGAAATTATTCTGCAAATGAAACAACTTTGAGTTTAAAAAAAATATTTTTTTTGGGGTCATTCTTGTGCTATTACATTTAATTCTTGAAATATTCAGTTGCTGATTTAACTAGTTAGTGAAGATTCTGCCATCACTGCAGACGGCTCGCCCGATAACTGCTACAGTCCTGTACCAGTGGAACTCAAACAAAATAACCTATACTGTCCCATTTAAAAATTATTGACAAACTTATCAGTCCCAGCAAAATCTTGAATCTTGCACATGTAAAGTAAAAACGCATAAGGCAGCTGTCAGATGCGCCAACATTAATGATCAATAAGGAATGTTGGCATTGCACCCAAAAGAAGGAGAAATGAGGGACAGAGTATGACATGTGTAGAAGCAGTGTGCTAATGGAACAGTCAGCATCTACACCTGAAGACATCTCCTGTGGGAGATTAGTGATTAGAAAGGATTATCATCACAGCACTCCGGACTGATCCATAGGTGCTCCGATCTCCTCCTTAAAAGCTCCACAAGTGTAAAACGACTATGACGCCTGTTCTATGTTGGTTAATGAAACGTCTTGTCCCCTTAGTGAAATGTTCATTTCTTGCAGCTCCAGTCTGCACCCCCATGTCCATCAATCTAGACAGGGATATGGAGTCATGTCCTTTGGCATGCTCCTCGGTACGGTAAGTGCAGCGCATGGCATTGATTACATCACTTCTGTCCAGTAATGGGCCAGCCATATCAACTGCAGTGTCAGCAAGATAGTCTGCACGCTCGTTCCCTTGAACACCCGCATGACCTGGCACAAAGATGAAGGTTAGGGCAGATCTTCGTGAAGTGCTTAGTGTTTCAATCCATTCTTGCCTGATAAATCCATCTTGTCTGAGGGAGATGAGATGGAGCAAATACTGTTAGGTCCGGTTTGCTATGATGTTGATTCTTAAAATTAAACAAAATCTCACTCTGCTTTTCGTCCTCTCCAGCTTTCCCATTGTCGCTGAGTACTTGTTTTCCCCCTTCTCATGACATGACCAAAATCTTCTCAACAGTCTAAGCTCTGGTACATATGTGTATAATGTACCTAGGGAATTATCTTTATCTACCCCCCTTGAATTTAGCTGTGTAGTCTACAGGCTATTCTCCGAATAACAGTCCCAAATTAGCAAGACTGAAAAAAATACCCTAACAGGGCCTCAGTCATATGTAAATTGTGGACTTCCTTTCAGCGAATATACCACATACCGCGGGAAACACTCCTCTGAATAACGGTCCCAAATCATTGAGGGTGTCAACTGCTCCGACACTGAGTGCTAGGTTTAACTTCTCCCCTGGGTCCTAGGGTTAGGGCCAGGAATTTTGCAATAACGACACTGCCACCAGAATCTGTTACAAAAGTGGAACCGCGACACTATCGATTGACAGGTTATGGATGGAACTTACGCCGAGGCAATATTACCATGGCGGCACAAGTCCCGCGCTGTTTACTGAATATTTTGCGCAGTTTCCTGGCGGCACAGTCACAAGTATTGAGGCCCTGTTAGTGTATTTTCTGAACCTCGATAAGTTGGGACAGTTATTTGGAGGATAGCCGATTTATAATATCCTTTTCAACTCTTTTAGACTATGACTGAGATATATATACTGTCTATTATTTCTATTTAGATTGCTGTGTTTATCTTTCAAACAATTTTTATTATGATATTCATACAGGGCTACAACATGGATGTCTACTTTTTTTTTTTTCAAAATGCTTTTGCAAGTTAATATTCTATAGGTTATCCTGCTATACCTTTCATTTAATTCGGTTTTTTCCCCTTAAAAAATTGGACAAACTATTTATTTGAATAATTAATAACTTTTGTGTGGGGGTCATCCACAAGGAATTTGTAAACGGCTATCCTCCGAATAGCGGTCCCAAATCATCGAGGCAAAAAAATACCCCAACAGAGCCTCAGTCACGTGTCAATGCCCACTTTCTCCACCGCCGAGAGTATCCCCACACTCACGCGGCGTGGATTGGGGCTAAACTAGATGGCTGGGACTCAGGAGCAGCAGCTACTGCATCTCCTGCAGCTTCCTTCATTTTATTTGCTCGTGAGTCATAGCCATCTAGTTTAGCCCCAATCCATGCTGCGTGAGCGGCGTGGGGAATACTCACAGTGGGGGTATAGTCCCCGGAAGTTCGCAATTTGGCGGTGTCGTTATAGTCTTCGGAAGTGCGCAATTGGCATGTGACTAAGGCCCTGTTAGGGTATATTTTCGGCCTCAATAATTTGGGACCGTTATTTGGAGGATAGCCTTGTAAACTGTCAGTTAATGAGAAAGTCATCACATTTCTAATGCAGTGGAAATTGGGCTCTCCTCCAAACAGCATCATAATATTATGGTGGCCATAAAATATCAAAAAATATCCGAACGGGGCTCAGTTCTATTAAAAATATGCCGGCTCCATATAACGAAACAAATGCTCTAACAGGGTCTCAGCGATATGTTACTTGCGGACCTGTTTCTGTGACTGTGCCTAACGCCGACTGTAATCCTCCCCCCCCCCCCCCCCCCCGCTACGCGCGGCGCGGATGGGGGCTAAACTAGATGGCCGGGACTCACGAGCAGCATCTACGAGTACATTGTGGCAAGCAGAAAGTCCGTGCTACAAGTGACGGCACGAGATACTTGTGCCGGTGGAGTAAGCGAGGGGAAGCCCGAGCTAGCCTCGTGGTCAGTTGATCATCAGAAGTCAGGGAAGACGGTTGTAGTAATTGAAGATGTCGTCTTTATGTTGCGCAAATGGTTAGTGTTCGAATATGTCGCGAGTGATAGAAGTGCGAATAATGTTTGAATATGTGAAATAAATGGACCAGAATAAACTGACAGAATGTACCAAGAAGCTGAGCGGCGTTTGTGTTGTCAACCCTATACGTTAAAGTCGGTGTAAACCAAGCTTCATTCCAAGTTGAATCAGAATCATTTCAAGTGGGTGCTCGTCCGGGATTAAATTCGAAACCACGCGGACCACAATAATTAGGAAAACATTTTGTTTCTTCCAAGGTAAGATAAACATGCGGAAAACAGTATACATCGTCTTCACCCGAGCAGAGCCTATAAACACAGCAAGCTGCGACAGGTCAGCTGCCAACCAATGAAAAAACGGTGTCATCTACGCCCGCCACACACCGTATCACTAAGTTTTGCGATTCAGGAAGTTTCATGTTTACCGAAGCTACACATCATAAATATTTCAAATCTAGTTTGTGAGTTAAATCAGGTTTGTGACCATTATTGTTTCGCGGAAATTAGCGGACTATGAACTAATTTTATTTACAGTTACGATCAGTTTTCTTACTACGGTGACATTTTTTGCATCGAGTGTGCGTTTATCAGAATGGCATCTAAAAGGTTGGTAAAAAGTAAGAACACTTTGTCGCAAGTATCTTCAGCGACAACAATGAAAGATACATCGATAAGTAACCAGAAGATCAAGATGTGCATGTTTTGTAAGTACCAGCACAGTTCTTCAACTATCTGCGACAGAGATCCTAAATATTCAAGTTATATTGAAGACTTGGTCAATAAAAAATGGCGAAATAAACAAAATAACAACCTTAAAAAATGTTATTTCTGTTCGGCATTCGGACATATTGTAAAACACTGTGTTGGTAAACAGATGTTAAAAGACAAGAAAAGATCCTTGTTTGCAAAAACTAATTCAGAAAGAATAGATTCAGAAGGTATTCCTACTCTAGATTGTTCACTGTGCTACTGGAGAAAGAATAAAGGAAAAGTTACAGCTCCACATATCATGTTTATAGGAAAAAGCCAATTGAAATGTCCAGGAAATAAAAAGATTAAGAACGAAATCGTGATTGCAGTATTAGAATCCAGCAAGAGTAGTAATACAAGCAAGAAAGTTGAAACGAAAAAGACAGCAGCCACTGAAACAGAGAAAAAGTCAAACTCAGAAACAATGGAAATTAATCAGCAACCACCAACTTTTCCAGAAATGAAATCAAAATCTGATTCAGCCAAGAGTCACAATCAAGGAAAAAATGGATTGGAAACGCAAAGCATGAAACAGGCAGACTGTGAAATACTAATAGATAAACAAGCCATGAATAAAGAATTTTCATTCTTAGAGGACAATAAATATATAGATTATGATCAATTCCACAGAGCAGCAAGTCAGAAATATTGGGAAAAGTCAACTAAATGTTTGATAAACAAGAAACCAGCACAAATGCAATTAAATAGAAAATCAAATATCACTTTGGTACGTGAAATTTTTTTAGAAAAATCAGATTATAGCGGAGAAATGGTTTACTGTTTAGACAGAGAAGGTTTTTTGATGCGATTTTGGACAGCTTATATTTATTTGAAGTCGCCCTATATATCAAGACCATTGAAAGTAGTGGTAACGAGCAACATCGGAACAGATGTGATTTTGGGATACAAAGTCATCTCCATCAACACCAAAAATAACAGCTGATTCAAGGAAAATTACCATCTTTATTTATGAACTGAAGTATCACTATTTACTAACTTGAAACCACACGGTCCATCATCCTGAACATCAACGTCAAGCTAACATATCACCATGCATGAAGTTTAAGATTATTATCAGTCATGAAGCTACATAGAACCACTTTCAACCAAACAATCAAGAAAACACCTGAACAATTATCAAGAATTGACATGTTACCATTCTTCACTTTCAAGATTGTCATATTTCAACCAAAATCAGAAATTACCAACCAGTACTGTACAGTGAATGAACAGAACCATATCAGCCACTCAATTATTCAAATTTGAAAATCACTATTAAGGAACAAGAAATTATTTTCTCCAGACACCTCAAAATCGACCATTGAAACGTTTCAAAATCATCAAATTCTAAGCAACACTTCAGGAGCATCTATACAATATCAAGATCGTCAAATACCAAACGTATCATAAAATAAAGAATGCGAGAATGAAGCATTCCGACCGTTTAAACGCAATCAAGAGACAACAAAAATGTCAGTATTACATCGTGTGTACACAATTGTGATAGCTACTGTGAAAGTTAGATCATGTTACATACCTAAAGTGTTTGTGTAAATAAATATCAAATTAATGATGAAGTATTTTTAAAAAGTGCATAAACACCTGATTTCATTTATAAAAAACAGTCACATACTGTGTGTATTGAACACCTTCCGTTTAATTCCATTATTAATTATTTTAAAGGTGGCATATCAGTGTATGCAGTCACTGAACACTGTTAATAGTATTGTGTCAACTTATAAAATTATAATAATATTTTTAGTCAGTATATTTGCAATATTACCAGCTATCCTACCATGAAATACCCCAGAGCAGAACAGACTGTCGAGCAAACCAAGGAATGAGAATCTTGAAAGCAAGCGCCAGAGTACAATCAAGACACACACAGCCTGCAGGGATGGATCAAGATCAAGGATAGTTAATGGAATGAATGTGAATGAAAGAGAATAAAACAGGTATGAATGATGAATGAAAGATTTGTGAGTAGTATTTTAAACTAAGGAATAGGGTACATGTAGTTTACTTAGGTTAGAAGTTCATTAGGATTATTTTAGTATTCATGTAATGACAGTTAGTAGTTCAAAAAGAAAGAAAAAAAAATCTCTCTCCCCAGGAACAGCAAGGAAGAATAAAATTATTAAGCTGTAGTAATAGATAATATAGGGAATTTTTTTTTTTTGTCCACAGAATGACTTAGATAAAAAATTCAATTTGAAACGTTTTAGCATAGGTGTACAGCACAGGGACATGGTAAATTGGTCCACGACACCCAAGATTATAAACTGCTATAATTATACTGATGCTGACTAGATAGACTAATGGTAAAGAAAGAGTGCACACATCAAAGCACAAGCATAGTAGAAGAGTTGAACTCATCTGTGTCCATCTAAAGGGGGAAAGGTATCTGAGATTCCTTGGGGTTAACTACCCTGTTAAAGGTGTTATAGACTTGGAGGAAACTCTAAGATCTATGAAAAAAATATATCTCAACTATCAATGTTTTCATGTTGGATTCCTTAGGGTTGGGTAATTACCCTGTGAAAGGTGAGACTTTGGTCTATGAAAAAATATCTCAACATGCATTTTTTTTTTTTTTTTTTTTTTTTGTCCGTGGTAGATTCCTTGGGGTTGGGTAATTACCCTGTAAAAGGTGTTATAGGGGCTTTTGGGAAACGAAGCACTATGTTAAATATATCTTACCACTATCAAATCGGCTAAGAGTCCTTGGGGTTAAACACCCTGTGAAAGGTGATGCAGTAATATTGGTTAATCCAATTTTCTATGTAGTAAATATCTCAAAGCTGACATCATCATCATCACTATCATCATTTCACTTTAAACCCGATAGAGTAGATATAGTGACAAGACTACTACAGATGCAATAGGTGTAAAGATGGTTTAAACTCTTCACCAGCTCAGTACTAGGAAAAGCATGCAGTAAATATTGAAGGCAGTTTTAAAGGGCAGTAATTGAGATTAATCAGGAACCATAATTCCTAGTGGTAATACAGTTAAATTGATTTACTATATCTGGTTAAATGAAAATGACACTTGATGTTCCATAAAGTGTCATTTTGTTAAAAAGGGGGGAGAGTGTGATGACCCTGCTTTGCATGGTCTCCACGAGTACATTGTGGCAAGCAGAAAGTCCGTGCTACAAGTGACGGCACGAGATACTTGTGGCCGGTGGAGTAAGCGAGGGGAAGCCCGAGCTAGCCTCGTGGTCAGTTGATCATCAGAAGTCAGGGAAGACGGTTGTAGTAATTGAAGATGTCGTCTTTATGTTGCGCAAATGGTTAGTGTTCGAATATGTCGCGAGTGATAGAAGTGCGAATAATGTTTGAATATGTGAAATAAATGGACCAGAATAAACTGACAGAATGTACCAAGAAGCTGAGCGGCGTTTGTGTTGTCAACCCTAGACGTTAAAGTCGGTGTAAACCAAGCTTCATTCCAAGTTGAATCAGATTCATTTCAAGTCAAACCAAGGTTCGTTCCAGGTCGGTATTTATCGTCTGCTACTACCGTGTGCAATGTTGATATTGTCAAGTAATTCTAGTTTTGCCGCGATTCGTTCCTTGGCAGGAAGTCTGTATTTTAGATATGCCTGAGTCCCGTTTGGATATTTTTGGATATTTTATGGCCGCCATAATATTATGATGCGGTTCGGAGGAGAGCCGAAAATTTATTTGTTTTCATTGCACTAAAACTGTGCTTGGTAAATTGTGAAAGTTAATTAAATGAGGTACTACTGCCTCAAATAACAACCTAACAAATGAAGTTGATAGCTCTGATTGTTAAACTAAAAATGACTTAAATTTAAATGAATGATAATGATTAAGGTATCTTAAAATGGCAACAAATTGTCACTGTCAGCTATGTGGACATGCTGTTAATAGGAAATTTCACTATATCGTCTTTTAATGTAAAAAGTTTTTACAAAAAATTTTAGTGAAGGTAGCGAATGTTTCTTTTTTTAAACAGAAAGTTCTCTACCCAAATCAAAAGTGAAACTTTCACAGAAAGCAGCAACGATCTCAGCTGATCGATCGGAGCCTCTGAGTCAGTCACTGTCACCAGTGTTTTGTAGTAAATTCATACATACCAAATGTTTTTGTTTTATATATGCTCTCGTCACATAACGCTTCTCTGATTCTACGCGCTTCTTCTTCATCTTCACTGGAGTCTGATGATGTTGAAATAGTTGTTTTATGACCATTCAGGTCTGTTTTCCTCTCCATAACAATTGTCTGCCATGTGTGAGAATACCAGGAGATGTTGGGGTTTCCCCCGATATCTCGTGTTATTATTATATCGCATAAAACAAAAAAAAAAATAAACAGCCACCTGTTAAAAGCTCAGAGGGTTCTATGTAAAGTCGAGACTTATATCCTGAAGTCCTTTTTAGGACGTAATTTTTTGTTATTTGAGGCCCCACTCTGGCTTTTGCCAGGGGCCGCAATATAGCCCAACAATAAATATGGCCAATTGTCTGAACGCGGTTTCTGGGACCTCTCCACGGTGATCCTCATCCTCATGGTGGCACTTTGTGTCATCGGGTGTTTATCGCTTGTGTGATGTCCTGGTGGGGTAGAAAGTCAGTCAGTCATGTAAAGTCTTGGGAAGTATAGGCGGCAGCTGTGGTTTTGACCAAATCCAAATTTATAGTCTAAAGATGGACGTGGAAATGAGATGTTTTGGAAAGAAGACTAGGAAAATTGATTGTATAAGAAATGAAGACACTAGAAGAACTATTAGAACAATACCCATTGTTAACTTCACTGACAAACAAAGACAAATGGTTCGTCCACCAAGTGAGAATGAATTCAATGATGCCAGCAAATTTATTGTTGAATTCAGAATCGACATCACAACACTTGGGACACCCCCATAAGCGATCTGTCCCCATCTTCAGCAGCAAGCGAAAAGTTCCAATTCCGATGGCACCAGTAACTGTCTGATAGTATTTACGTCTGGCCTTTCCTCTGAATATTGAGAGTCGGCCAGATCCCCTTGTAACTCCTCGCAGCGCTGTTCTCCCCAGACTGTTATGATCTGTCTGTGCCTCTGCCCTGTCAATCGCTCCCACAGAGCCATCACAACATCCAGCTTGTCATACATCAGTTCACCACCGTGGCGCGGTGATTTCGGTCACAGGCATGAGAGGAAGTTAAGTCTGATGTGATGTGTATAAGGAGATATTCCGTACCCCACTCGGGCGCCAGTCCTTCACTGTTCTGGTTTTACGGAACCTCATGCAAGACTCCTGTTGCACGTCCCCTTCGTGCGCCACGGATAATGTCTCAAATGAGCATTAACAGAGTTGGCAGGGGATCTCGGAGCTGGCGGCCCCCAGAGGTGTAGAGTCCTTTCTGGCTCTCTCCAGCCCGCCCCCAAACGCATGGGTGAAAAGTAACAAAACTCAAGGACTGCTTGCCAAATGTACCATCAAATGACAACTCTTGGTTAAAATTCGGGAGCGAATGGAAAACTGTGCTGCTGAGACTCAACCCTGACCGAGAGATTTACCCGCAGCCAAGACGAGTAACATCTCTTGTGGGCGACTTCTCGCAGCAAGATCCCACCTACGTACATCCTCTGTCAATCCTCAGTGTCGTCGTCACCGCGCTGAGGTACACCATGGCAGCAACTATTCATATGCTGGCTTGAAAACAATGTCCGACAAAGTTACACCCCACGGCACACATGCAAGCTCAAAGTCCGACGATCATAACTCGTACCGATTAGGAAAAGTCTGAATGTCCGTATCCACTGGTCCAACTCGCCCGAGTGTTGGGACCAAACAGGTGAAGCCACGCCTGGCGCATTTTGCTGCCCCATTCTGTCGTGCTAAGGGCACAGCTGAAACAACGTTAAAGGTGTCTAACGTAAGATGAAAAAGAATGTACCTATTTGTGTGGCCACAAACTTCCTAGACCTGCGGGCTGCTCCCCGCTGATCTCCGGAGAGCGCAGCCTTGTAGCGCGGGAAGCTCAATACACGGTTGTGAGGTTAAGCAGTCATGGGCAGGACGTGACGATTCCTGTGGTGAGCCCAGAACCAGAGCATCATGTGTCGGCTCTGCATTTATGGAAGCCTCCTTGGATGGCGGGGAATGCCCATGATCTGCCCCTGCCTTCCCTTGAGGGCTGAAAACTCTACATAGAGCTGCCTTAAGGACGACATGCCGGGAGCCACACTTGTTAAAAGTCAAAGAGGACACCACACAAATAAGGCAACATCTCGACCCACACAAAACAATGGCCACAGTCAACCTAAAAATAGGCTTGACGTCTTCCTCCGAAGTCGGAGTACATCTGCCGGAGAGGCGGGGAACGAGTACTGCAAACAAATAAGCCAGTAAAACGGATGTACACGCAAAACTCAGGTCAAGGTAAAAGCCAAAAGTCCATTTTGGACGAACAACCGTGACTTACCGCCGGAATTCACAGCCGGTGAACAAGAAGAAGAAGAAGAAGAAGTTCACCACCAAGTGGTGCAGAACCAGTCAGATTGTCTGCCAGCCCATTTCCCAACACACCGGCATTCCTGGAGAAAATATCCAAAGGATGCTAACTACCCGGAACCTCTGAAGAGATACTTGCCATTCTGCACGGAGCATGCCTGTCTCCATCTTTCTCAACATGCCCTGCGAGTCAGTTACAATCACGACGTTCCTATAAATAAACAGAGAGGGAGCCTTTGAGGCCGTTAAATATTATGAATTAATCGAGTAACAGAAAGTGTATTGATCGGCACTCATAGAAAGAAGTAGAAAGAGTGCCGATCAATATACACTTTCTGTTACTCAATTAATCACGACATGTATTACAGCTAATTCTCAATACAGCGGAATGCAGCAGTGACTGCTTCCACCTCCATTTTCAAACTAGACATTGCGATATCATATGCCAGGTTTTGCTGCACCAAGCGACGTCCAGTTGCTTTTGATATGAACCCCTATGAACCCCGTCTGCCACTCAACACAGAGCCATCTGTATAGATAATCACATCACATTAGCAGGAATTGTCATGAATCATTTGTTGAACTTCTGATTCTGCAACACCAGCTGGCCAGTCCCTGCCCTCACTACCCAAAATGATTAGAATCCTACATGTCTGAAGATTGCTCGGGCAATTTGACCAACACATCTCTTCGCCTAAATTTATCGTGCCTGCACACTTGTCCGATCGTGTCTTCAGCTTGCGCCATCCATGACCTTGATGCCAGCAGAGACAGCGTTCATGAAAATAAAAACACTGAGAGGTACAGGAAGACCACAAGAAGATAATGTGAAGGAATCACTGAGAGTAAAAAAGCCTCACAACAGCACAGCATAACAAGCAGCCGAGTGTGCCCTGGCTTGGCTATCTATTATTTGTTCAACTACGACGTCTTGAGGTACAAAGTAGAAACGTTTTACAGAATGAACACGAAATTCAACAAAGACATTGATGAGCAGTTTGAAGATACCGACATGATCATTTCACAGACGCAAGACATTAGGTTAAAAACGCGTAATCTGTCGTTTTTGGCTTGAGGAGAACTATATGGGTTTACCAGGAGTGAATGCGATTGATTATGGTCCTCACTAATAACTAAAGTAAAGTAAAGGACTCTTTTCCATGTCTTCTTTCGTATTGGGCAAAAGGGACACAGCTATATTTTATAGACCAATTGGCACTGGATCATTTACACAGGCGGTTCAGTGTCAAGAGGCAGAAGAAATGCTTGGGGTTTCTTTACAAAAGTTAATGGTCGACGTTTGGTGCAGGCGAGCCTAGCATATGATACCACAACATCCAGGTTAAGAATGGAGGTGGAGGCGGTAACTGCAGCTTTCCGCTGTTTAGAGAACACGACACACACACACACGCGCGCGCGCGCGCATTGTGATTGTAACTGACACAGACAGCATGCTGAGGAAGATCAGGACAGGCATGCTTCGTGCAGAGTGGCATGCCTCACTGCGGAGGACACGGATTTTTTTTTACCGTGTACGTCGTTGTGTTGGGAAATGAACAGGCGGACAGACTGGCTGGCTCTGCACAACTTGGTTGAATACTGATACATGATAAGGCAGACGGGGTTAGTGCCTTGTGGGAGAGCGTGTACATTTCGGAAGAGCAGATGGATCACCAGGCTGGTGAAACTGATGCAGGGGGGAGTGACGAGAAGGTTCTGGCAGAAGCTCGAGGCTCAGAGGAAAGGCAAGACGGACATTTAATCAGAATGCTACTAGCACCATTGTACTCTTCACTGGCTGCTGAAGATGGGGACGGAGCGCTTATGGGAATGCCTAAAATGTTGTGATGTCGGTTCTTGAATCAAATCAAATCAATTGCCATTTGGGTGGGTGATGTGGTCAACATCACGCCGGCCGCCTTTACTTTCCAGGACTGTACATGGTAACCATTCAAGACTGGGTTGGCCTGGCCTGAGAGCCGAGGTCATTTTTGATAAAAGTCCGGCTCGTCAGGACTGAAACCTATGACCTTCTGACCCGCATGCGAGCGTCTAGCGGCTATAACCCGGCGGCTCTTACTAATAATTATCGACAATCTTTAAGCTGGATGAATACAAGAAAGGCAAGCCAAATAAATATCTGGTCAACCGAAGCCCCACCCTGGCTTCTGCCGGGGGCCCTGAATATACCCGGGGCATAGATATGGCCTAACGGCTGAAAGGGGTTTCTGGGACCTATCCATGGGTAAACCTCATCCGCATGGGGACACTTTGTGTCACCGGGTGTTAATCGCTTGTGTGATGTCCTGGTGGGGTAAAGTCAGTCAGTCACCTTTTTGTTCAAGTCCTTTGGGGCTTAACGGACCTTAATTCCCCCTTTTTTTTTAATTTGGAAAAAAATAAAAAAATGGGGGGGGGGGGGGATTAGTATTTTCTTAACTGGGGGAGGTGTAGTTGGTGGTGGTGGTGGTAAAAAAGTGGGGGGGGGGGGGGTCAACCCCTAAAATGTTTTCTTCGTGACGATCATAGTATCAATAGTTACAAGAAAAAGGAGATGTCGATATATTTTGCCCATTCTGAGATGAACCAGATAATAACGAGGCAAGGATTGGATATTTCCCTGCGTGTTTTTTCTCCTTTGTTAGTACCCCTACTGATGGTACCGGTTTCAGTCTGATTTAAAAGAGACCTGTCTTTCCCCTTGCACGTTTAATGTCGAATAGACCTTCAACCTTCTCCTCAGGGGATCAGACTCTCCA